CCCCCCCTGCCTGCTGGGCCCCTCGCCCGCCCTCCCCTCGGCCCCCCCCGGAGGGCCGCCCTGGCCTCGCGCCCGACGCCGCCAGGCGCGTGCCTCAGCTGGGGCCGTCGGCTCGCGCCTTGCCTTCCAGTGCGCCCTTGTCACTGGGCTAGCTTGTGGCTCCTCGCCCACCTGGCGCCGGCCGCCCCCCTTGCCCCGCGCCCTGCGCGGGCCGCTCGGGGCCCCTCGGCGCTCTGCCCCCGCCTCTGCCCCGGGGGTCTCAGATGCGTCTGAGGCGTTTCACTGCCGTGGACTGCTTCTCCACGGCGCCCCGCCCAGCGGCCCATGCTCTGCGCAAAGGCGCCGCCTTGGCCCCACCTTCTGCCGCGTGGCCAGCGCGAGCCGCCCCTTTCGGCAGTGCGCTTGCCCTCAGCTGCCCCCCCGCCTCGGCGTCTCCGCTCTGCGGCCCTGGCCTGCGACAGTCCCCCACCTACCTGGGGTCGGCTGACCGCGCGGGCTTCTCCCCGACGGCCCGCAAGCGCGATCCAACGCGCTCGCGCCTGGGCGCCTCCACGGCGCACTCCGGCGCCTTCGGTCGCATGGATCGGTTCTACCCCAGCGCGAGAGCGCCCGCCCGCGCCCCCTGCGTTGTGGCGCGCGGTCTTGACACCAGTCCCTGGCGGTGTCTGGCGATCCAGACTCTGGTCTGTTGAGCGCCTGCACGCGGGTCGGTCGACGCACGACGGCGCGTGTGACTCGACCGCCACTTGGAGACGGAGCGACCGTAGCGACTGTTGGTCCTGTCGCCTGTTCCTTGCGGTGCGTCTACGAGACGGTGGCCCGCGTCTTCAGCTCGCTCGCGGTGTCGTTCAATCAGATTTCCCCGCCATTTTGGCGATGCACCCCGCCTGGCAGCTTGCCCCAGTCGACGGCGCCCTCTCCTGAGCGGCAGCGAGGCCCGCCTCCTGTTTGTTCCTCCTCCGCTGTGCTCTCGTCGTTTGTTTCCCCCCCCATGGTGCGCAATTCGCTCGTAGCTCGTTGCTGCGACCTTTGACGGCGTCCGGCTCCTCCGGCGCGCTCGCGATCAAAAAAGTACCCGGACCAGCCCATCCGGAAACGATGTCCAGGCGAGTTGAGGCGATCAGGGAAGCGCGGGAGCAAAGGGGGGGACGGCCGAACCGTACGAAGGAGGGAGGAGGAAAAGGAGGAGGCTGGATGGATGGATGAGAGAGTAAGGAGAAGGAATATTTATTGATAACAGGAGGAACAGGAATAATAAGAAAAGGAGTAGTAGTAGGAAGGGGGAGCAGGAGGAGGAGGGCAAGCGAAAAGGGCCAGAGGTCTTTTGGATGCCTCTCGGAGCTTGTTGGGATATCTCTTGGGCGCTTATTGGGGGCCTCTTGGGACGTCTTGGAGGTCTCTTGGCGGTCCTGGAGGTCTCTTGGGCGTTTTGGGTGCCTCGGGGGGGGCGCTTGGGGTCTTTTGGGGGGCCTCCTTGGGGCCTTTTGGGGGCCTCGTGGGGCCATTTTGGGGCCTTTTTGGGGCCTCTTAAGGCTTCCTGGGCGATTCTTGGGACCATCCTGGAGCACATCGATCAAATAAGGAGGGTTCCCCAAGTAGCACTGCCCCTCTAAAGTCGCCTCTTGGGGCGCTCTTGGAGCGTTCTTGGGCGCTCTCGGGGCCGTATTGAGGCTTTCTTGGGCCCCTCTTGGGGCCCTCTTGGGCCATGCTGGAGCCATGTTGAGGCCTCGGCCATCGGAAGCGAGAAGGCGAGAAGGCAAACATCAGTGATGCTCCTTAGGTTTTGGAAGGAGTTTGGCCTCGTAGAGGCCTCCTTAAATGCCTCCGAGGCCTCTTGGAGTCGTCTTGGAACCTTCTTGGATCCTCTTGGAGCATCTTGGAAGCCAGCTTGAGGCATCTCGGGCCATCCAGAGCCATCTTGGAGGTCATTTTGGGTTTTCAGAAGGGGGGCAAGCCCCTCCCCGAAGTGGAAGAAAGGGGTTGGAAGACGAAACTCTTTAGACCACCTGCGCCCAGACGGCTGGCGGGATTTGAATTCGTCAATCCTCACCGGGCGGACCGCGGAACCCCATTATAGACACGCATCCAGGGGTTGTGTGACCATGTGTCATATTTCGTTTCCCCTGTCTCTGGTTTCTGTGGTTTTGTCCCTCCTCCTCTCACTCTCTCTCTCTCTCGTTTGCTCTGTCGCTCTCACGTTCTCTCTCTCGTACTCTCTCTCTCTCTCTCTCGTTCCCCCCCTCTCTCTTTCTCGTTCTCTAGCCCTCTCTCTCTCTCTCCCTCTCTTCCTGTTTCTCAATGTCCGCGAACCCAGCACCAATCCAGCTTCGGGGCATGTGACCTCCGGGGTCAGGCCTTTCGTCCGCGCGCCATGAATGACCGCGCGCGGGGAAGGGGGGGCCTCTGGGAGGCATGTCCCAGTGCCCAGGCGGAAAGTGACAGTCCATTCGGGCACCAGCGACAGGCGTATCCGTAAGAAGGCGACGAAAACAGGGCCCCACCGATAGGTTCGCATATATATATATATATATATATATATATATATATATATATGTGCATGTGTATGTATTATGTGTGTATAATCACATATATGAATATACGAATATACATATGTATACCGTCATATATATATATATGTATGCATCCCTCGTTTTGTTTGGCTCGTTCTCCGTATCATCATTATGCTAGGTATTGTTGTGTGTGTTTCTCTGTCGTTTTCTTTTTTCTCTCTCTCTCTCTCTCGCTCTCCCTCTCTCACTCTCTCTCTCTCTCTCTCGCTCGTTCTATCTCTCTCGCTCGCTCGCTCTCTCTCTCTCTCTCTCTTCCCCTGTCTCGTTCTCTGGAGGACATGGACTGAGAGAAACAGGAGAAGTGGGAGAAGGAGGAGTAGGCGGAGGAGAAGTTGAAGGAGCACAAGAGAAGGAATCGAACATGAAAAGGATGAGGAGGAGGAGGAACAATATGGGAACACGCTGGGGAGAAAAAGGGGCGGCAGCAGCAGCAGCAGCAGCAGGATGGGGTAGGCGGAGGAGGAGCAGCACCACGAAATACGCACCTCCTGCGGCGACTCCTGCAGTAGCAGGGGGGAGGGGTAGGGGGGGCCACGCCGTGGGGGGTGGGGCGTTGCGAATGGGATAGGGGGATAGAGTTGTAGGGGAAGGTGGGCTGTGGAGGGACGGGGAGGGGGGGAACCTTTGTATGGGTCTTGGCTCGTTGGTTTTCGTCCTGCCCCGTCGCTCCTTTGAAGGGGAAGGGGTGGTGAGCCCTCTCGGAACCACTACATAGCGCCCTGCGACCCCGTCTCCTCCTCCCTCGTTTTCCCGCCCTCCCCCTCGCCCTCCTCACAATTTCCTCTCGTCTCACGACGTTCCCCTTTCCCCTCCCCTCCCCTCCCCTCCCCCCCCCTCTCTGCACTACTCACATCTTTTCCTCACCCCTTCCGCTCCCACCGGGGGGGGACGTCTTCGCTACTGCCTCCCCCTCCTCGCCCCCCCCCATCCCTTCCTCCCTCCCCCTCTCCCCCTCCCCCTTCCAACCCCCCCCCTCTTCCCTCCTGCCCTTACTCCTCCCCCCCTCCATACCCTCCTCCTTTACCACTCCCCCCTCCTCCTCCTCCCCTCCTTCCTCACGCCCTCCTCCTCCTCCACCTCCTCCTCATTCACCAACCTGAGGCCACCTCCTCCAGGGGGCTCCATCCCTCCTTCCTCCTCGTCCTCCTCCCCCTCCTCCTCCTTGCTCCTCCTCCTCCTCCTCCCCTCCTCCCCGTACTCTACCTTCCTCCCCCATGCTCCCCCTCCTCCCCCCCCCTCTCCCCTCCCCTCCTCCTCCTCCTTCTCTCCTCCTCCTCCTCCCCTCCTCCTCCTCCTCCTCCCCTCTTCCTCATCCTCCTCCTCCTCCTCCCCCTCTACACGCTCCCTTTCCCCTTCTCCATGCCCTCCCCCCTCCTCCTCCCCTACCAGAGGCCTCTGGAAGTCCGCCCGGCTGCTCCCGCCACCCCCAGAGAACGTGCGGATGCTTCTGGAAATCTTCGAGCCGACCTTTTTACAGCGTGGCACTACATAGGTCGAGACATACAGTCAACCCGCATGTGAACAACTTTTCCAAGGGTACCCTTGCATCCTCGCCACCTCGGTCCAGCCTTGGCCACTTTGATTGGCCGCGCCCCACTCGAAAAACTGAGAAATGGGCGCCCAAGGCTCTTGCATCCTTATCCCGCATCCTTGTGATACGGGCCGACTGTATTCGGAGGACCTGCGTTCCGTCCCGATTCGTTTGGACGGCCGTGGGGCCAGGAGAGTTTCCCTGGAAACTGAATATGGCGAAGCATTTTCCGTCGCACGGTCGGACCGAGGCACAAGATCCAGGTCGGTTCGGGGAGGGTACCCATATGTTTTTCGCGCTCGTTGGATGCACTTGTGCATCCTGAGGAGGGTATCCCTGGATGTTATGTGTGTGCCTTGGCCAGCGGATGGGCTCATGCTCTTGAAGGTGCTCTTGCAGGATGTATGTTCTGTCCTAGGCCCGACTGCATGTGCTTCACTGCGCGAGGGTGCCAGGGTATTTGCGGGCATCCGTGAGCTTTCGAAAACAAGAGAGACGCCTGCTTCCGCTCCCCCTAGAGGAGGAGGAGGAGGAGGAGGAGGAGGGAGGAGGAGGAGGCGAAGAGGAGGAAGAGAGGACGGAGGAGGAGTGGAGGAGGGGCAGAAGGAGGAGGAGGAGCAGGAGGAGGAGGAGAGGAGGAGGAGGAGAGGAGGAGGAGGAGAGGAGTGGGAGGAGGAGGAGGAGGAGGAGGAGTCCAGGAGGAGGAGGGAGGGAGGAGGAGGAGAGGAGGAGAGGAGGAGGAGGAGGAGGAGTGGAGGAGGAGAGGAAGGAGGAGGAGGAGGAGTAGGAGGAGGAGGAGGAGGAGGGGGAGGAGGAGGAGGAGGAGGAAAAGACGGAAAAAGAGGAGAAGAAGAAGGGGGGGGCTCCCGATGGATGCCCGGCCCGCGCGCCGCCCGGAGGTCCTGCAGCACGGCTCCGGCGCGCTGCTGGACCTCGTCTGGCGGGGCCTGCCCGTGCAGAGGTCGGCCGACCCAGGCGCCCCGGCGGCACAGAGTCTGATCGACCTGTTTTCCACCACCACCACCACCAGAAGTTGGAGGGGGAGGAGGAAGTTGGAGGGGGAGGAGGTCCTCCTCCTCCTCCTCCTCCTCCTCCTCCTCCTCTTCCTCCTCTTCCTCATCATCATCATCCTCATCATCATCCTCCTCTTCGTCCTCCTCCTCGTCCTCCTCCTCCTTCCCCTCATCAGACTTGGAGTGGTGGTGGTGGAAAACAGGCCCAGCAGGTTCGGGGGATCGTAGAAAGGGGGGGGGCCCAAGGTGGCGTCAGGGAACGAAGCCAGCTGGATGCGCGCGCTTCCTCCTTCAGAGAGCCGTCTAGACCCATGTTCCTCCCAACTCCACCTCTGCCCCTGCCCCACCTTTACTACGTCAGGGCTCGAGCTAAGCGGTGTTTTGACGAGTTCGTGGACCGTGTTCGTTAACATTTTCTTTCGCAGCAAGGGAAGAACGAAGAGAGAAATATGATTGACGAAAACAAAGCGAGAGCGAAAAACATTGTGTAGCTCGAGCCTTGCTTTACCCCAACAAGCGGGCGACGACGTCGACGACGACCAGGGGATCCTGCGCGTCGAGAAAGATATCGGGGGGGCCGGCTTGGGTGTTTTTTTGTCGTTGCCTTCATGGGGCGGGTCTCGGGGCCACGGGGCCGGCAGAGCACGATCTGGGATGGAGAGCCCGTCCCAGGGGGAGGGGCCCTGACTGGGGGGCCGACAGTCAATGCGCCGGACCTCCAGGGCTCGTTCTGACTCCCCCGAGTCGATTCGATTTCGACGGCTGCCGATTCCGAGCCGATTCGATTTCGTATTCCGATTTTGGGACGCCAGCTTCTCAGTGGAGGCCTACTGGCCTGCCGATCTCTGCCGATTTGACTCTTCCCGACTTGGCGGCCGATTTTCTCCGATCCGATTTATGTCGATTGCCGATCTGGCTGATCGATTCGATTCTGGGCTTCTCTGCAGGGGAGAGGTCCATGGGGGCCGACAATCGATGCGCCGGATGTCTATGGACGACGGCGGCGGCTCTGCGTGAAGGGGGGTGGCCAGGACCTGTGGGAAACGTATTCTGGAGATCTCTCCCCGCCGCCCAGCTCCCGGGGCCCTCCAGCTGGGCCCCGCGACACTGCCAGCAGAGGCGGCTCAGCAACTCTAGGCCGCCTATAGATTGGGTCCCGGCAGATGGGATCGGAGGAACGCGCTGCATCGCAGATGCATCCCCGATGCATCGCCGATGCGGCTCGATGTGGGGCCCAATTTGCTTCGCGTCGACGTCGCCGATGCGTCGCCGACGTCGACCATGCATCGCCAGTGCATCACCAGCGCGTTGCTGCTGCATGGTCGATGTATTGGCGATGCGGCGCGATCTTCCGACCCCATCTACTCCGACCCCATCTAGGAGGCCTCTAGCATCGAGAGCCAACCCTGGAAGAGAGAGCCCCGCGGGGTCCATAGGATCCGATTCTGCCAGGGCCCTTTTCTCTCACGCCAGACGTCGACGACGAGCTATGGGGGGAATGAGAAGGAGAAGGCCTTCTCAGAAGGCGGCGGGACTTCTCAGAAGTCCCGCGCCTTCGGAGAAGACATGTGTGTCTTCGAGGAAGGCTTAGACAACTTCTCAGAAGGCCGGGGGAACTCCGAGCCTCGGAGCAGGCCCGCCCCCCTCTCACTTCCCCCCCTCGCCCGCCGCCGACAGACGTCAACGACGGCGGCAGCTCCTGGCAGTGGCGAGGAGTCGGCCAGGCGTGCGGCTTTTCGCCGGAGTGGTCTCCGGCCACTATTGCCTACAGTGGGGGCCCATGCCAAGAAACACCCTGCTTGCCTCCAGGGTGCCCTGGATTTCTTGGGTTTCGATGGTTTTGCTGTCGAATGCGCTGCGTTCCCACGCCAAAAATCAATGGACGTCCTGGCATCTCAGGGTTGGGTTTCTTGCGGAAGGTTTCTTGTAGATTGGCGTCCACTGTATACAGTCGGACCGAGGTATAAGATCGAGGTGGATTCGTGGAGGGTACCCTACTGTTCTCCGTGTCTGTTGGATGTTCTTGTGCACCCCGGGGAGGGCACCCTTGGATGCTCTGTGCGTTTTGGCCCGCGGAGGGTCTCGTGTTCTCGAAGGGTGTTCTTCTGCCCCAGGTTCGACTGTATTCGGGCGTTGCTAGAGAAGTGCCCCTGGCCCAGCGTGCCCCCGGGACTTCCATGGATGCACCCACGGCCTCCAGAGCACCCCTCACAGGGCCCAGCTGGCCAAAGGGGCTCCAACATAAAGCGAACAGTTTGGGGCACCTTAGACCAGGAACACCATTCTAGCAGCCCCCGATAGTTAGATTATGATACCGGAGAACAGCCCCAATCGAAGTCTTTTTAAGGCTATTGGGCGATGGGGCTTTGGGGCTATAGGGCTGTGGAACTACAGGGCTATCGGGCCCTAGGGCTATAGGTCTATAGGGCTATAGGGTTGTAATTAGGGCCATAGGGCTGTAGGGCTATAGGTCTATGGGGCTCTGGGGCTATGGGGATATAGGGATATAGGGCCATAGGGCTATGGGGCTACAGGGCTATGGGACTACAGGGCTATAGGACCATAGGGCTATGAGGCTACAGGGATATAGGACTATGGGGCTATAAAGCTAGAACGCTATAGGCATACAGAGCTATAGAGCTATAGGGCTATAGGGCTATCAGGCTATAGGGCTATAGGGCTATAGTGATACAGGGCTATAGGGATATGGGGCTTCAGGGCTATAGGACCATAGGGCTATAGGGCTACAGGGATGCAGGGCTATGAGGCCATAACGTTAGAAGACTATAGGCATATCGGGCTATAGGGCTATAGGGTTATAAGGCTATAAAGCTGTAGGGATATAGGGTTATAGGGCTATAGGGCTACAGGGATATAGAGATACAGGGCTCTAGGGCTCTAGGGGTATAAGGCTATACTGCTATTGAGCTATAGGACTGTTGGGCTATGGGCTACGGGTCTATGGGGCTATAGGGCTATAAGGCTATAGGGCGACAGGGCTATAGGGCTATAGGGCTATAAGACACCCGGGCATCTGGGCACCCAGGCACCCGGGCACCCGGGCACCCAGGCGGGCGCGGAAATCGGTGGCAAACCTCACCTGACCATATGAATCCGTTACCCTGCAGAGGCAAGCTCTGATCGGGGAATATTCATATTTACTAGATCAAGCGGTAATCAGATTTACTAGATCAAGCGATGTTGAGCCCAGGAGGGGGGCTCAACATAATTTAGTTGGGCAGACTAAGCAAATCCAACCGCCAGAACTCATTTTTCAATCGTTTGCCCCCCGCGGCAATTTTTCTGCCGTCGCCGCCGTCGTCGCTGTCGCCGTCGTCGTCGCCGTCGTCGTCCGTCGTCCTCGTTCTCGTCCTCGCGGTTGTCCTCGTTCTCGTCCTCATCCTCGTCGTCCTCGTCATCGTCCTCATCCTCATCCTCATCCTCGTCGTCGTTCGTCGTGGTTCGTCGTCGGCGTCGTCGTCGTCGGCTACGGCGGGCCTACGCAGCCCCCCCTCCATAGTTAGGGCATCCGCAGTGCGTCGTCGTCGTCGTCGTCGCCGTCGTCGTCCGCCGTCGTCGTCCGCCGTCCTCGTCCTCGTCCTCATCCTCGTCCTTGTTGTCGTCATCGTCATCTTCGTCGTCGTCGTCGACTACAGCGGGCCTGCGCAGCCCACCCCCCCATAGGGCATAGGCACTGCGTCGTCGCCGTCGTCGTCGGCCGTCGTCATCGTCGTCGCCGCCGCCGTCGTCATCCTCGTCCTCGTCCTCGTCGTTGTCGTCGTTGTCGACTACAGCGGGCCTGCGCAGCACCCCCACCCCCTCACAGGGCATCCGCAGTGCGTCGTCGCCGTCGTCGTTGTCGTCGGTCGGTCGTTGTCGTCGTCGTCGTCGTCGTCGTCGTCGTTGTCCTCCTCTTCGTCGTCGTCCATTCCTTCTGGTTGGCGCAGTCGCACTCGCGGATGACCGCGGCGGAAGGAGGACGACGAGGACGAGAAGGAGGAGGAGGAGGAGGACGAGGACTAGGAGGAGGAGGGGGAGGAGGAGGAGGAGGATGGGGAGGTGGATGAGGAAGCAGAGATGGAGGAGGGGGTGGAGGAGGAGCACGTGGAGGAGGAGGAGGAGGAGGAGAAGGAGGAGGAGGAGGAGAGGGAGGAGGATGAGGAGGGGGAGGGGGATGGGGAGGAGGAGGAGGATTTCAAAACTTCAGAACACCTGATGCTTCCAGGGCATTGTTCGCAAACTTTTGGCGGCCTCGTGGGCCCCCCCGGGCCTCCCAGACAGCCCGGGATTGTCCGCCCTCTGTCGGCCTGCTCCTCCCTCCCCCACTGTTGGGGCAGCCAGGCCAGCGAATGTGTTTTGTTTTTGTCGTCCGCCCCGGATTTCGTTTTGAAGTGCTTGCTCACGCTATATCTCATGCATCTATAATGTTTGTATGTATGTGTGTATACATATAAAACTCAGCACCCCGCAGTCGCGGATAAGAGTGAGGGGGCGGCAGAGACGTCAGCAGTCTGCAAGGCTCTGAAGAAGCCCGCCGCAGGCGCCCAGTTTTACCAATTATACAACGGGCCCGCCGCAGGCGCCGATTTTCCGTTAAAGCAATGTCGGTGGGTCGCGGGGTGGGTCGCGGGTGGGTCGCGTGTGGGTCGCCAGCCGGGTCGGGTGGGTCACCGGCCAGGTCGCGGGCGGGTCGCGGTGTGGGTCGCGGGTGGGTCGCGGGCCAGGTCGCGGGCCAGGTCGCGGGCCACATCGCGGGGGGGCAACGCCACACAACAGCAACACACAAACAAACAAACCAACAAACAAACAAGCAAGCAAACAAACAAACAAACAACACCAACATCAACAACAACACCAACACCAACACCAACAACACCATTGACAGCAGCAGCAGCAGCAACAACAACAACGAGAGTCCGCATCGCAGAATCCCACTTCAGCCACGCACCCTGGAAGTGGATGTCCGTTCGCCCCTTCACTCCCGTATATACAGATGTATATAAGCACATACTCTTTAACGTATGCATGTTTATGTTTAGGTGTGTATACATATATATATATATATATGTACACACATAAATAAGTGTATGCGGTCACTTCCTGCGTGCAGCCGACGGAGGCGGGCAGCAGGTGCCTGGGGAGGGCGCCGAGGGAAGGGAGGGCCGAGGACTGCGAGAGGGGCGGCCGGCGGCGCGGTCGCGCCCGCCCGCACAGGCGCGGGGGTGCTGCAGGTGACGCTGGACACGCAGGCCGCGCTGGAGTAAAGCCGCCTCGTGCCCAGGAGGAGGAGGAGGAGGAGGAGGAGGAGGAGGAGGAGGGGGGAGGGCATCGACGAGGTATAGGCTGCGGGTCCGCTGGCCTGTTCAGGGCCTCGTTGCTCGTTAGTTTCGAGAAGAGGACGCTCGGTATCGTTTAACCACCGTCTCGAAGCAAGGGTATCCTCAAGCCTCGTCGTCGTGAAGCAAGTGTGTCCTCCGGGACGGCGAGGCTTCGGGACACCCTTGCTTCACGACGGCGGGGCTGGAGGAGAACAAACAAAACAGATCGTTTAACCGATCCCGAACCCCATCCTGATCCCTATCCCGATGTCCCCACCATCTTACCACCCCAGTTGGGGATATGCCTCTCGAAACCCGAAAAGGACAGCCTATTGCCCCATGCTGGGGGGTGAATCGGCCAGCGGGGCCCAGGCAACGCCAGTGGGGGTAGGGATCGGGTAATCGATGCCCACAGAAGTCGGCTTCCCTTATGCATCCCCAGGACGAGCTCATCGCCATTTTCATTTCGAGAGGACAAACTTTCGTCCTGCGTTAGTATGTGATCGTTGTCCTATTCATTGTTTTGCCGATCGGCGCGGGCCCTCGCACCCCCCCTCCCACCCCCGGGGAGTAGATCTTGGATGTTTTTGGCGCCTGTTTCGAGCAGGTGGAGCCTCCCCCATGGGACGCACTGCTGCAAAAAGTCGCACTAAGCAGAGGTCCGGAGCCAGAGCCCCCATCCCTGCCCCCCTTCCTCCCAATGTCGAATCCCCGAATGATAAAAACGTTGACTATCCTGGCGTCGCGGGAGAAAATGGGACGGCAAGTTGTTCCATGTTCACGGCTTTGGGGGGGGCGCCTCGGGTATAGGGTCGCCGCCGCCGTCTCCGCGCCCACCGCCGCTGGGTGTCAACGCCGCGGTCGCCATAGCCGCCGCTGCACACGGCGCCGCCTCCGACGCCGCCGCCGCTGGTCGCCGCAGTTCGCAGCCGCCGACGCCGTGACCACCGCTGGTCGCCGTCGCAGCCGCTACCGACGCCGCCCCTGGACCCCCGACATCACCGCGTCGTGACACAAGCACGACGGGAGATCCTTTTGGCAGTGTGCAACCTCGGGGGGCCCGAACCGGGCCCTTGGAGCCCTCCATAGGTGACTCGGGGGGGAAACTTTGCCCCTGGAAGGCGGTCCAGACCTTTGAAGAGCCGCGCTCGGACCAAAGGACGACGTCGAAGGTCCCTGGGGCAGGGCCGCATCTCGGAGGACGTCCGCTGTCCACCTCGCCGGTCCTGGCCCGGTTCAGCTCGGGCCCATGCTCGGCGCATGTGGCCACCTGGCCTGGCCAGGGAGACTCGCACGCTGCTCCCAGGCCTATCGTGGACTGGTCCAGCACTGGACGGAGGGGTCGTCCGTCGTCCGTCGTGGTCGTCGTCGTCCGTCGTCGTCTGCCGTCGTCGTCTGCCGTCGTCGTCGCCGTCGCCGTCGCCGTCGTCGTCGCAGTCGTCGTCGTCGTCGTCGTCGTCGTCGTCGTCGTCGTCGTCGTCGTCGTGGGCGTCGCCCGTCGCCCTTCGTCCGTCGTCGTCGCCGTCGTCGTCGTCGTCGTCGTTGTCGTCGTCCGTCGTCGTCCGTCGTCTTCCGTCGTCCTTGGCTGGACTCAAGTTCCATCCCAGTATCTTTAAGTTTTGCCGAGGCGCCCTACAGTCGGGCCGACGTATAAGATTGAGGTCGGTCCGGGGAGGTTACCCTCTTGTTTCTCGTGCTTGTTGGATGCTCTTGAGCATCCCGTGGAGGGCACTCTTGAATGTTCTGCATGTGTTTGGCCAGCCGGGGGCCTCATGTTCATGAGTCATGAGGGATTGTCTTTCGGTCCAGGTCGACTGTAGATACAGTCAACCTGCACAGTAAGGATGAGCGACTTTCCACGGTTACCCTTGCGTCCTTCGCCTTCGGTCCAGCCTCGGCCGCCTTCGCTTGCCGCGCCTCGCTCGCAGAGTGTCGACATGGGCTTCCAAGGCCCTTATATCCTTACGGCGCATCCTTGCTATACGGGTTGACTGTATGGTTAAGTCGGGCGTGTCCCTCTACAGGAGGAATATTCAAAAATAGTAGAAAATAATATGGGGACGATTTTTTGATTCGTGAATCTCGCTCATTCCGCCGACCCATATAACATTTTGCGCACCGCGGTGGCCTGGCCGAGAGGTCGGTCGTCGGCAGTGCGGAGCTGCAGGGAGCGGCGGCCCCAAAACGTTTCCAGAGGCTTTCAAGAGGGCTTTAAAACGGCTTCAGAGCGCCTCAGGACAGCCCAAGAGAGCCCCAAGACGGCCCAAGGAGGGCCTCCCAGAGTTTCAGAGCTTCCCAGGAGAGGCGCAAGGAGGCCACAGGAGGCTCCCAAGAGGGCCCCACGAGTGCCCCAAGCAGGCCCAAGCCCTCCAAGACGGACCCAGAGAGCCCTGGGACGGCTCCAGATGGCCCGAAAACGGCCGTGAAGATTCTGAAGAAGCCCCGAAGAGGCTTTCAAAGATGCATCCAAGAGCTTTTTACGAGCTCTGATCAACAAGGCCCCGAAGGTGTTGGGTGCGAGGAGGAGGAGGAGGCGAGAATGAGGAGGAGGAGGAGGAGGAGGAGGAGGAGGAGGAAGGTGGATGAGCATGAGGAGGAGGCCTCTCGATGGCTTTTTGGAGCACTGTGGGGCCAAACTTGGTCGTGGAGAAGGTGCCTCCGTGGGGCCTCTTGGGAGCCTTCTCGAAGCTTCTTGGGAGACTCTGGGGGGCCTCTTGGGGCCTCTCGAGGGCCTTCGAGGGCCTTTGGGGGGCCTCCGTGGGCCTCTTGAAGGCGTGTTGGCAGCATCTTGGAGCCTCCTGGGGACCTCTCCGGGCCAAAAGCTCGAGATGTCCGTTCGGGTGCCCCGTCTGGGCTCGCTTTTAGAGCCGTTTTGGAGGCGTCTTGGGCCATCTTGGAGGTCTCTGGGACTGTCTTGGGGCCCTCTTGGGCTTATCTTGGTGGCTTGTTGGGCCGTCTTGGGGCGATCTTGGGAGCCTCTTGGCCACATTTGGACGCTGTGAACCCCAGACGTCGTATATGCGAAAAATGGACGCTCCCCTAGGGAATGAGACGATTTTTGCTTGTTGGAGCCCTCTTGGAGAGCCTCTTGAGGCTCTCTTGGGGCTTCTCGGCGACCTCGAGGGCCGTATGAAGGCCATCTTGGGCGTCTTGGACCGCTCGTTCGGTGACTCCGTGGCCTTTTGGGCTGTCTTGGAGGCCTCTTGGGGCCCTCTTGGCTCGCTCTGGGGGCCTCAAGGCCGCACCCAGGAGGAAAACCATCTCTGAGTAAAGGGTGGCCGAGCTGCGCCCCGGCGGCGGGCGGGGTACTTTTCGACGGGGGACCCCCAGGGGCCGCCCCGCGCGCGCGAACCAGAAACATTGTTCACCAGTTACCGGAGATCTCAGCACGCCTCTGGCCCGCTGGGCCGGCGAATTTTTGAATGTGTTCTGTATCTTTTGCATTCTCCGTCCAGAACCCACCTGTAGGGGGACCGGCTGGAGCTCGGCGACGAAGGCACATGGCATGAGCGCGCACTTTGCCGGAGGTCCGCGCGGGTTTTTCCTGGATCGGCGGTGGGCCCCTCCTCCAGGCCACGGGAGGCGCCGCCCCGACGCGCTGCGCGCGCCGGGGAGAGCAGGGCTCGTGTCGACTCCTCCGACTCGATTCGACTTCGATGGCTTCCGGCTCCGATTCGACTCGACTTGGGATTCCGATTGGGGTTCGGGCTTCTTAGTGGAGGCATACTAGCCTGCCGATCTCCGCCGATTCGACTTTTCCCGACTCGGCTGCCGATTTCCGCCGATCCGATTCGTCTCGATCGCCGATCCAGCTTATCGATTCGATTCTGGGCTCTCCTGGGGAGAGGGGAGAGGGGGGTCTGGCATCGGCCCAAGAAATCCCTGCGGACCTCCGAAAGTGTATGTTCATGCTTGTCTTCGAGGGAGGAAAAACCACCCCGACCCCGACAGTTGGCGTTTACTAACTTAAACGGCCCTGGACGTTTACTGAACAGCCCTGCTCTGTTCGATTCCTGCCTGGGGTGCGTTTACTAAACGGCCTTGCTTGTCGGGATGCTCTACCAGAAGTCCATGCTGACCTCCGAAAGTGTACATCCATGCCTTTCTGGTCATTCCTGGATCTGGGTCTGGCCCAGCGAGGTCTCCCTCCCCCTCGTCTCTCCTCTTCTTGTCTCGGCCGTCCAGGCCGCCCAGACGAGGCCAGAGGGGATGGATTCGGATGGTCGTGCCGCATCACCGATGCATCGGCCATGCAGCGCGATCCGGCGATCCCACCTACAGTCAAGATGCCGAGACAGGGACCGCTGTGGGCTCAGGAGGGGCTCGGGCTCTCGGCCGTGCCGTGGATTTGACTATGAAGTGGAACGTGTTTGTGGCCCAGGCCCGCCGTGGCCAGAGAGGCCCCTTCGTTCCTTATGCTGCGTTCCTTATCGCAGCACGGCGACTGGATTCAGACGGCCTGCGCCAGTCCGCTGGCCCCCGAAGGAAAGGGAGGCAACTAGGGAGAGAACGAGCAGGATGCGGGAGAGAACTGATACCGTAGGGGGAGGGCCAGGGGGAGTAGAGAAGCGGCCTGGCAGCGTGCGTGCACTTCATAGCTCACATCACATAGACTGTACCCCCCTCTCTGCACGAGCTTGCGGCCAGAATTGAGGCCACCTTGGCAGAGCAGCCCTGCTACGTGCGCGGATGTTTCGCGAGTTACCCGAGCCTGGGGCTGTTGCAGGTTTTGTGTTCCCCGCCTTGCGATCGGCTTCGTTCGGGTTGGGCGTTCGGCAGAATCCCCAAAGGGGCAGCGGATTCCTTCTTCTCCCCTGCCGGATGGACGAAGAAACATGCTTACACGACATATATTTCCCTTGTCTATAATGTATGCTATATGTGTGCATTCTGTATCCATATAGTTATTCGCGTATATATGTATATATATATAT